TTCATGTGATGAGCAATTCAATCTTACAGATATGTGTCGCTGACAGACTCCAATGAAGATGAATCTGACGTCGTTGATAAGTTTGACGTGGTGAAGAGTCGCCCAGTCTTTAAGAGGTCAGAGGTGTATAAAACTTTGGGAAGTTGAGCTACTGTTGAAGCCTTTTTTTATACCCTTGAGTTTCACAGAAAAAGGTGGTTTTACACAGTCAAATTTTCAAAATGTGTAATTGAATGCAGAAATCAAATCAAAAAATGTTTAATACAATTTTTTAGCTGCACAGTAAAAGTACCTGTGATTTGATTTGCATTGCATAGGAGGCATAATCCAAAGAAAATATAGCGGCACTTTCTTTTTCTGAATGCAATCATTTACTATTAAGAGCAATATAATCATGCTATCGATGGAAAGCGGAGTTTCCATGAAATTTTTCCAAAACTTAAAATGTTAAACTTTTAGTGAAAGAGTGCTGGAGCGAAGACGCTATCGCTTAGCATTTTTATTTGCTGTAATCATTGCCGTCGTATTCATTATTATGGTAGCGCACTCAACCGCCGGCAATGAAAACGAGGAAGTGTATCAGTTTACAGTAAGTATCTGTTATGCATACTGTGCATCAAACTCAGTTATCAATCTGCTCTCATGTTTGATTTAAGGCTTTTTTGAGAAGCTTTTTTTTCTAGAAACCGTCTGATGAGCAAATAGAAAAAGTCAAGGATAGCTACAGAAGGCAAGAACTCACTATTGAGAAAGATGGATCTAAACTCGATAACATTGATAATATTAGAGCAAATAACTCTGAGGTGGGAAGTTTTTTTTTGAATTCCAAATAATGAAGATTTCTCACTAATACATTTTTACAATTTGTCATATTGGCAAAAAAAAATGAGATGCAATACCATTGCAGAAGTTACCGCCAAGAAGGTTCTCTGGCACCACAGCGGAACAGATGTGCCAATCCGGAGTGGCTGGTTGTGTACAGCGCTTTGCCAGAATTCGACCTCTCATTGTGGTAAAGTATACTCAATTAGAACAGCTTACATAACCTTTCAAAATAGATTCTCTTTACTGATATGAGATTTAAAGAGTATTTGTCTGGTCGTTTTGAACTTTTTTGTGGTCTAAATTTTCTCTTGTTAAGTAGCTCAAGATTTGCAACATGCAGAAAATTTTTTTTTGTCTTTGAGAGCTGCCTAGTCAACTTATAGCTTGTAACGGTTTTTTCAGAGTACATAAAGCCAGTCATGATTAGGTTCCATTCCTTTACAACCGAGTCGTTTACTTTTTACAAAATATGGAAAATTCTAACTAAATTCTCTCTTGGGCTTCATCATTAACTTGCAAGTGTAAGACTATGAGTTCTTTCACAAGAAATAGCATTTGCTTCTCCACTTCTTAGCATGTCTGAATCAAGACATTTGTATTGTAATTCTCTTCAGATTTTTATGTTTGCAGACAGCACCCAACTATCATCTGATGTCATGTCTGATTCAAAAGAGTATGTCTACAGTGATGTCAGCAATCTTCTGTTATCTATATCGTGAGAAAGAGTTTATCAAAGAGGGACGTAACATTCTCCGTGAACTTTCAGATATCGGGTGCACTTTCAGTTATCAACATTGTTGCTGATAAAGTACAACGCGATGTTTTGCAGATTATGCCAGAAGGAGAACAGTTATAAGACTGTGGATGGAATGATACAAAGCCTAAAAATCGAAGACATTTCGCAATGGAAATTCACAATGGTCACTCGTGAACCGGTTGATCGTTTCCTGTCTGGGTTTATTGACCGTTGCTTAAGGTTCGTATTGTGCCAACTTTTCAGAAATTTGTAGTACGGTACAGCGACGAGTAAGGATCTGGACTTTTAAGATAAGATTCCAATGTTCGTTGAGCTTCAAAGCTGTCGGTAAGGTCAAAAAGAAAAAAAAAACAACAAAAAATGTTGATTATCCGTCAATTATACGTAGGGGAGCACCCTTCTCAATACAGTTAATGTTATCGTCTTTCCTCTAAAGTTCGTCCAAAGTTAGCTCCAGAAAACGTATCCCTAGCTAAGGAGATTAAGTGGTTCATGTTTACACGAGCCTCATTTAAACGGAGGTCTCTAATGTCAGCTGTCTGTGCAATGTGTTATAAAGCGCCATCATATGGACGCTAGTGTCTCTAGCCTATTGTGCCTGCTGGCACTTTCTAGGGTCTTCTAATTGAAGACACATCGCTTTTGCAACAGTAACCATTTTCTATGAATATGCTTTCTTTCATAAAATAGAACGTTCCTAAGAGCTGTTTAAGTACGAGTGTTTTGCCTGTATGGGTATGCAAGAATGTTTGTACAAGTGAAATAATTAAATAATGGATTATCTCGAAATTTCAACTTTAAATATGTTTTTCTTCGAGTTGCTTAAGCCACATAATCTAACTCATTTATTGTATCTGAGCTCTAATCATGCTTCGTTTTGGGTTTACTAAACGATTTTGTGTTGATTTAACATTTTGAGTCATGATTCATGCCCTGAGCCTTGAATTAAATGCAAACAAAACAACGTCAATAAACGTATTTCTAGCGGAACAGTGTTTTTATGAAGAAGACCTAGAAAAGCCACTTAGATGAGCGTAGTACCTTTCGTCATTGTTCATCAAATTCTCAACCTGCATCCGTGATCGGTCAGTTTTTTTCACGCTCCACTAGGTATTCTCTACTAACCAGCGCTGTTGCGAGCTTCCTTTCTTTTCAAATCTATTCATCGACGATTCACTGCTTGTGCTGCTGATATTCAGAAGGAGATAAAGCTCCAATTTTTCTGAAGGAAGTACGGTTATCCAGTGGAATAGAAGACTGAATTTGGAGCCTCCCGCTGATTCACCGAGCTCGACGGTGCAGCTTGCGAAATAGTCATAAGGAAAATTTGCCGTTGTATACAAAGATTATTTTTGCATGATTGTTAGACAAAAGGAAAACAACAATGACATTTAAAACGTTTTGGGTTGCTCACAAGGATTAAAGTTCCATCTAGGGAAGGTAATGTTTCTCAGAGTAAAAACTATATTAGGAAACTTCATCGATAGTCAAAATCCTGCTGGTTCACATATCTCGGCGCTTCGCACCTCCAATTGAAAATCATAAAAAAAGCGTTAAATGGTTACCGAAAAAGGATCGATTAGTGGATTTGAAATGACTGTATTAAGTATTTATAATGAAGGATTTTGTGGGTACTCATCTCCATCCTGTGGAGCTGCATTTTATAGAGTGACGTAGTTCCTTCTAAATTATATAATTAATGGTTGGCTTGGCGAATCTTTTTTTTTTTGCGAAATTGGTTTCACAGCGCGCCTCTGATTTAATTGCTCACTACGATCTATGTGTATCACATGGTTGTTTTTTAAGAAAAAAAATAGATTAAGGCTAGAAAAGGTAATGCTGAAGAGTAAATCAGGCAATTTCTTAATGTCAAACTGACGCTGAGAAATCGCACAGTGTCATCGATTGCTCAAGAGCTAGCTCTAAGCAATATTATCAAATTACAAATATCTCTTGTAGTAGCCCTTTGAAGGAATATCGCTATGAAAATAGTCTCCCTTGCGTTTTAATAAAGGTTACTAAGAATAAACATCGGCAGCCTTGTGTTTGTTTGGAAATGTAGCGAAGCCTTGGCGGTAACATACTAGCAAAAACATGGTCAAATCAACTATTAGTAATGTAACAATTTTTGGTGATTTATGCATAACGTTTAAAGTATTTAGGCATGTTTGATTAGATAAAAGAAGAGGAGGGGAAGGAACTTTAGTGGATAGCCACATATTATAATTAGTGAATTAACAACGATCGTGAGCTCATATGTTAAGATAAGTTTAGCATATAGAAGTTTAGTGCGCTGAATAGTTTATAAAGTTTCGTTTTGCTGTATCAAATCCGATCATATGATAGAAACCATTAGAGATTTCATACCTTGCAGTTACCTTTTAATTCTACTGAGAAATTTTGATCGATTTTATAGATCTGGACAAATCAACCCTTTTTAGTGAAACATACATCTGTAAAATTTTTCTTAGAAT